GCTGTCATGAAAATCTTTGACTGACCTACAATGTTGACCGGAAATGTTTGGTAGGTTTCGGATCCTTTCCAATATAGTGTTGTTGTAGATTTCATTGAGTGTTTTCCGGGCAATGTCGTAATTGGTCTCAGTCAATTGTAGATGCCTGATCAACTTTTAAACGGCAATGTCTGTCCGTTTCTTTCTGTACATCTCTCCAGCTGCTGGGAGTGGTTTATGCCCCTTCTCCCTTCGGAGTGCTCTTTGATCATGTCAACCGTATTACGATATTTCTCGCCCATCGCCTGGTACACGTTCTCCACTACATGAGTATGTGCTGGACCCGATCGTATCCGCCTCATCTCATCTGGGCGGAATTCCACCGTTCTTCCGCCCAGTGGAGCCTTTGGTTTGCCTTCCACAATTCGGCAACCTAATAATGGAGTGTTTTTAAGTTCAGTTTTTTTAAACGCAATGTCTTTTTGTGAATAAGTTATCTACTTAATGAGGTATATGATGAAAATTTCGAGGTGTTCCAAATGGAATATTCTATACACATTGTGGCAGGGGAGGATGGGGCTTCTTCGGCATCGGGGTACATTCGGCTATCGCGTTTTCGATATGAAGCTCTCAAAATACATCTCTAGCTTCGATACATCGGTATCGAATATCAATATAAATAACTGTCGCAAAATTGGAAATCTGAAGTTAATAACCTTATTCCGTTAACCGTACATCTAGGTTTTTTGTATTTTTACAGGAGTTTTTGTAGTATTTCCATTCCATTTCGCAATGTTTCGTGTATAAAAGTTTTCAAATTTAAGGCATTATTATTAAAAAGTAATTAATTACATTGTGCATTCTTATAAAAATAATAAAAAATTTAATGTTTTTAGAAGATTGATAGAAATAAATGAAAAAACTATAAATAGTATCTTCGGGGTAAATTCGGCATTTTGAATTATGGGAACATTCGGCCATACACAGATAGTGCAATATTATTTCCTTAACATGTATTTGAGTTTGTCTTTAAAAATAATTCTTTAATATGGTTTGAAATTACATACATATACATATTACGTGTTTGCATTGACGAAAATACGATAGAAAAGATTTATTTCTGATGGTGTGAGTGACCTTGAGATGTCAACGTCCGCCGATAGAAAATGTAGCCTTAAAACTTTGAGTCGCATATTAAAATAAAATGGAACATTTAGAGGACCTGAATTTCAATCACACTGATAGCGGTGATAATTACTAGTCTATGACTGTGATGCTCCATCGAATGCCGGGCTACCCCCGGTAGGGCACATTCGGCGAATTTGATTTTTTTACAAAACTGTAAAAATGTTTCACTAATACTAACTTATTATGTGTTTTTCTGTACTAATTTTTATAATTATGTATCAGAGGACAATAATCAGCCATACTGTTTTTATATCTGTTAAATAAGAACCGAGACATAGATCTCTAATGAAAAAGTGCCGCAGGTGTCCCAGTCTCCCCTACAGAATTTAGCCAAAACAAAAGAAGGGTTGAGTGCCTGACAATAATGTATTAATTTTATAGAAAATGTGTTCCTGTTGTATCTCCTGTATTTTATTAATGATATATTTTTAGATACATTTATTATCTGTAAACACCTATCACACATATTAATAATGCATTACATATATATACATTATATACATATATACACCATATATATATATATACATTATATACACACGATTGTTTGAAATCCCACAAAAAATATTTAAATTGGATATAATAATAAGAATAAATACTAATTTCCTTACAGTCACTCATTATTACACACACGCAAAATAGCTAAACCGCCTAAAACCCCTCAGAGACATTATCAAACAGATAATTATACAGATTACTTATTAGTCCCTGAAGCAACACTCTATAAATCTATTAATAATCATACAAATATGAATAAATACATAATGATATGGTATCCTTCGTACAATGTTCTCTAATATTCAATTATCCAGTCAATTTCCAACAAATTTCTATAAGTTATCATTAGCAATTCAGTAAGGAATTCTACTTGCTGTAGATGAATTGATGATGTTGATGATAATGTAATTTTTAATATTTGACAAATTTACATACATAAATATTTGGCGTTTGTTTTCAAGCGGTAAACATTTTGTAACGACGAAGTTTGAAATTATTTTGTGAAATCATTGCAGATATTATTCATTTTCTTATTTTTGGCATAATTATATTGTCACGTTTTGTAAGGCTTTAGATTTTGGTTAGAACGACAAACAGCAAGTAAATATAATTACGACATTGAAATAATGATTGTGCAAGAATTCAATACTTGCAATACTTCAAAGACTACATTTATCAAAAGAATTGCGAGTGATTTAATTTGTATACCCTACACAACTATGTTGTCAGGGTATTACAGCTTTGTGCAGCCCCAAAAGTTTGTAAAGCCGCGAAATATTGGTCCTAGACCCACCTTTAAGTATACCAACCGTCATATCTTCACTAGATGAGTCGATCTAGACATGTGTGTCCGTCCGTTCGTCCGTCTGTCCCTTATAATTTGTAAACACGATACAGGCCACAGTTATGGACCAATTTTCACGAAATTTTGCATGTATGATGGGTTCTGGCCAATGAAGACCCCTATTGTTTTTGGAAAAGATCGGTTAATATTTAGGCGATGAAATGGATCAAAAACTTTATTTTTGTCGGTTTTTCTGGTCGCTCCAGAGGCCGCAATTATGGCCCAAACACCGCGAATTTTTGCATGGAGAAGCGGATCGGGCCAGAGAATAAGCATGCCTGTTTTGAAAGATCGGTCAATATTTAGCGGGTCAAATGGACCCTAACTTTTGTGTGAAAAATGACAACAGTTGTATTCTATAGCGTATATATTTACCACTGAAGGACGTAGACCCGAGAAGTTGATAGTATATTCAAGAGGAGTGGTTGATCTTTTAATTGCTACCAATTATATTGTCGTAGGTACTCGGATGCGGGAGTTACATTTAAATATTTACAGGTGCTTACGTATTCAGACATTATTTAATAACCTATTACCACAATGGAGGGCGGAAATATAGCGCGGATCGCTTTGAAATGTTCCATGGGGTTCCAGTTATGGTCAAGGACAACGCCTAAAATGTTAGGTGATGATCAGATAATAATTTTTCGGATGAAGTGGACCGAAAACTTAATTATGTGTACTTTTCGAGTCGAAAGCCGAACTTCACAACACAACCTGCGGTGAAGGGAATCTGGACAAGTATGTAGAGGGGCTATAGTGATTATTAGTAACATTTGCTGACCACTAGCCAGCCAAAAGTGTGCAAATATCGCGAAATATTGCCCAATCTCAGAATATAGAACCACAGAAAGTTAGATTTTCATGGAAGATGTGTAGGGTATCGTATGGTCGGCCCCGTCCGACTATACTGCTCCGCTCACTGGTTTTCATTTATGATGGTTTCTTTCATTTGATAACTTTTATTAATTCCATGAAATGTCGAATTATATTTATTTGTAATGGCATATATTTATGCCGGAAATGTGTGTCTAAAGTGTCTAAAGTGTCACATATAGGGTACATTAAAAAAGTATTTTATTTTTTTAGCAGTACCTGTATAAATTCGTGAATGAATAAAGTGCAAAATTACAATCCAAACCTGTTGAAAATATGTATGCCATTTTGATCACATTCAGTAACAACCTGTATAAAACATTCAAAAATTGTAAAAATATTTATAAAAAAAATTTCATTTATTTTAAATTCAATATCTCCCACAATTCAATCATTGAATTTAACCATTCATTCATTGTATGCATCTTTTTTGTGGAGTCTGCTCTCTTAAATCCATTTTTTTCATACATACATATGTATATCCTATCTATGTGGAAATCCGTTGTGCTCGTCTGAATTCAACATTTTTCAATTCACAACGACTGTTAAAAATATTTTTTCCAATATGATTGATTTTGATATATTGATGTTATTCCATACACACAAGCATTTCTACTATGAATGTTGGTCGTTTATCGACAATTTGCATTTGAAGAGAGTGAAAGTAAAGTGAGATTTTTAAAAGGATATCAAGTGATTGCTTGCATCCTGAATATTGAACAACAAAATATTTTATATTGTGTGTAGATATATTGCAAACATATTTATACAAAAATAAACAAAAGAAAAAATGTGTAAAAATGAAGAGAATATTATTAACATGAAATATAATAAATGAAAACAGAATACTATGAACCGGATAGAAAAACAATATGCTAAGTCCTTATAACAGCTGCTAATTCTTGAAAAAACATTCTTTAAAAAATCCATGCCTATAGCTCTGCTAATTGTTGAAAAAAATATTCTTTAAAAAATCCAAGCCTATAGCGCTGCTAATTGTTGAAAAAATATTCATTAGAAATCCATGCCTATAACTCTGCTAATTGTTGAAAAAAATATTCTTTAAAAAATCCACGCCTAGAGCTCTGCTAATTGTTGAAAAAAATATTCTTAAAAAAATAGCTCTGCTAATTGTTGAAAAAAATATTGTTTAAAAATCCACGCCTATAGCTCTGCTAATTGTTGAAAAAAATATTGTTTAAAAATCCACGCCTATAGCTCTGCTAATTGTTGAAAAAAATATTGTTTAAAAATCCACGCCTATAGCTCTGCTAATTGTTGAAAAAAATATTGTTTAAAAATCCACGCCTATAGCTCTGCTAATTGTTGAAAAAAATATTGTTTAAAAATCCACGCCTATAGCTCTGCTAACTGTTGAAAAAAATATTGTTTAAAAATCCACGCCTATAGCTCTGCTAATTGTTGAAAAAAATATTGTTTAAAAATCCACGCCTATAGCTCTGCTAATTGTTGAAAAAAATATTCTTTAAAAAATCCACGCCTATAACTGTGCTAATTTTTGAAAAAAAAATTTTCCTATTGAACGGAATTCGTAGATTAACATTTCCAAATTGTTTTAATACTCAGAATTTAATCATTTACTCTCCTCTTTCAGATACTTTTCGAATTCGTCGCTCTTCTATATCCCGTTTTGGGTCGATGGCCAAACAGGAACCCCTAATTGTTGTCGATGAATCACAAATTGTCGAAGAAGATGACCAGGAAAGTTCGGAAACACCTTCAAATAAAGCTAGTCTAGATATTGATTCGCCCGTAAATCCATATCTCCTCTCACCATGGCGAGATCCCAGAGAAAGTCGCAAACACTCCCTACCCTCCCAGCAAGTTACCGAAGGTATTACAGCCAGCCAGGTCAGACGTTTATCGGAGCGGGGAGGAGAAGGATCTGGCCCTTCGCCAAAGGAAGCAGCATTTTTGGCAACACTCTCGCAAGCTCCAGCACCATCGGGTCGACGACATTCCGTGGTTACCATTTCCAAAGTGCCAACAACTATTTTTGGCAGAGCGCGTCGGGAATCTGTTGCCGCTTTACCAAACAAGTGAGTTGGGGAAGGGGGTTGGTTGGTTTATTATAGGCATTAATGCCAATTTTTAATATCTCAACCTTTTTTCCATCTCACCAGTCGTTTAATAGGTTCACGCAGAGAAAGCAACACCTCCACGGGACCGCCTTCCACAGATCCCATCGGCAGCATACACAATCTGCAGTTGGACATTATGGATGACATTGTACAGTCACGCAAGGCCCGTATGAAACTCTGGACCACGAGCAGTGAAAAAGTGTGCGAAGTGGAAACCCTCAACGAGGTGGGCGGCGCAACGCCACAACGTTACACCAATCGTCGATATTCCGAGTGCGTTTCAGCCCAAGCCACACCGTCACCAACACCAAGCTACCGTCGACCATCCGAACATCCCGCCGTTTTGTCACCTTGCATTACCCAACCGACAAGCAATCGTTCGTCAACCAGACGGAAGAAAAGCTCTGGATTTCTAGGTGGACGAACTGATATTGGGTCGATTTTCAGTAATCTCACCTCTTCGGCTATTGAGATACACAAATGTGAAGACAAACCGACACCGCCACCCTCGTCGTCATCAACCACCAAACCCAAGACCACACTACAGGCACCCTCACACAGTAGTTCGAATCTACTGGATCCCAATGCTGGTCGTTCGACACGTTCCAATAGTTTCGATGTATCCATTCTCAACAATGCCAAGCAATTGGTCAGTGATGCTCAGGATAATAGTTCGGCAGCCTTGTCTGGATGGTTTGCAAATCGCCATGAGCCTATGGCCCGCAAAAAGAGTATACGTAGTAAAAGTACCGCTATGGCCCTGTCGAAAGATGTCCTAGAAAAATTACAAGCCAAAGATGTTCTGCGCGAAAGTAAACCAAAACTTAAACCGCGTAGTAAACAAAAAAGTTGGACCGACCACACCAAGGGCACAATTGTAGATGCCACCGTTATTGGTTCGGCCATAGAAGGATTTTTGCGTAAAAATTCTGCATCTGGACCATCGGGTAGCAGTGGCAGTGCTGCGCCTTCCTCTAGCAGTAGCAGTAAGACAACCAAAGGTGGTGCCGTTCCCAAAGATTATGGTTCCTCAAGACGTAGTCGCACTCAGGCACAGGCTGCCAGCGCGGTTCGTTCCACACTAAATTGGTTTGGCAAGGGCGACGAAGATGACACAAAGGATACCTGTGATGCATCACTCTGCTCAACTCTGAAAGATCTATTCGTTAAATAATTTCCGGGGAATTCTTTATTTAAATTAAAATAATCCCCAGTGTTTGGTTGTTTTAAGTTTTGGAGAATTCTAGCCTTCATTCCAATTAAAAAATGGTAAGTTTGAATTTTATTATTTTATTTTATTTTTTATAACACACTTTTCCAAAATTAATTGATATGGCCAGGCAATAATTTGGCAATGATTGAAAGCTTTAGCAAAAACCTAAAAATAAATTTAGCATATAAATGAATGAACAAAAAAACAAAATAAAAATACCAATTTAAAAACCAAACTATTTTTCATAATCCAAAAATAACATTTTACAAAAATCACGTACACAAACAAAATTTAATTAAGAAATGGTTATTGCAATTTATAAAAATAATACATTTATACATATTTATTCATTAATTTGTTTATGTGTATGTGTAGGATTAGAAAGCAATAATGAATTATCGGTATTGTGTTAAATGTACCAACCACCATTTATGGAAATAATATTTTTTAATAAAAATAAATGAATAAAAGTTAAACATAAATAAAAAATTATCGAAAAATAACAAAATAGATATAGAGAATTATTCATGATAGCGGTCAGTCGTCAGATTTTATTACAGTTTTCGTGTGTATTAATTTGTAGATTAACCACAAGGTTCACACTCTACACTTACCTTTTTTTAATTTGAAGCCACTGAAATAGTGGTATCTCTTATCCTCGAAATTTATATAAATTTGGATCAGAGGAACACATATACACCACATTTCGGATATTTTTTCAAATTACATTACAAAAATAGTGAAATTTTCTACATAGGTGTGTTTTGGGTTATTAAACGCAAAAGTTGCGAACATTTCAATTTTGAATATAAGAAAAATGTCCAAAAACCAGTGAGTGGAGCAGTATAGTCGAACGTTGCCTACTATATCATACTATATACAACTTCCACTAAACTCTAACCTTCTGTGATTCATATTCCGAGCCTAGGCAAAATTTTGTTCTTACCCTGGTCTCTTTTTCGAATCATATTTTCCCGGAGTGAAAATTTACCCCATATGATTTAAATTTTGTTAGTTTATACACAAAGAACTTTGACTGGCTAAATATTCACCGATAACTATCAAAACGTCCTTGACCGCTTGCGCTTTCCATCGTCTACTGTAATACTTAACAATATCAGATTAGTTACACCCCTATACATGTTTACGCACATCCGAGTACATACACCAGTGTAATTGGTATCAATTTAAAGGTCAAACACTTGAATATAATGCCAATTTCTTCAGTCTATATCATTCTTGGGTAAAAACATACGCCATACAATGAAAAATTTCAATTTTTCACACCAAATCTTGGTCCATTTGACCCGGTTAATATCGGCTGATTACCATGAACAGGGCCATGCTTGTTTCTTGATCTCTCTTGATATCCGAGTGTCGATGAATTAGTGAATTTGTTGTTCAAGTGGCATAAGTATCAAAATAAGCCACTTGTTGTTGTTCTCTGGTCTGTACTGTGTTTACAAATTATAATGGACTTAGCTACTCGAGATATGATGACCGATATACTAAAAGGTTGGTTAGGACCAATATTTTGCGGCGCAATAAAACTCTGTGAGCCACAGAAAGATATAATACCCAGAGATGGTCCGTCAGAAACAGTGACATAAATGACATATATTTCGTATTAGGTTTTGTATAAACGGTTCATATTTAGATACAATTCCCAGATATATTTTCGTACACATTCGTACAAATTGTGCACCAAATGGCCATTTTGACATTTTGTTCGAATTGTATAGCATGTGACAAGTTGTATTCTTCGGATACCATAACGATTTCAACCTCGTTTTTAAAGAAGTATGGTCCAATTACACCTTCGGACCTAAAAACGCTACAAAAAGTAGATTTTTCTGGATTTAATGGCCTGTCTTCATTTACATGAGAATTCTCAGAACCACCAATGTGACAATTTTGTTTCTGAACATACCTATCAAGTGAGAAATGTGCTTCATAGCTCAAGAAGATTTTGTTCTATATGTGGCTGTGGCAGAATCATAATTTTTACGACTTTTGAGATAATTAAGCGGCTCATTTTTGTCACTGAAAAGAAAAACTTTGACTATTTCGAATTCCAGCCACATTCTTTTGAAGCCACGAAAGGGATAACCTTTTTATGACGATGTGCAGAGGTTTTACCAATATTCCGTTCGCAGTATAAGGTATTTACAACTTATCAAAATATGAACTCTTTATAGGGGAGGTACCAGAAAGAGCAGACATATAATTCCCACCTTCTGATATGAAATAGTGAAGTTTGTATCAAAACTGATAACAGGATATTAAAAATTTATTTCAGCTATTTTCAGCTACTTTTTTACCATTTGTAGGTAAGGTACTTGAAGGATCGGTCTGATATTTTACATTTTTGAGCTTGATTTAAGACTGAAAGAAATATTACGTTATACAACCTTTGGATTAAATCGCTAACTCCTTTTTAGAGTTATCGTGCTCATCATCCAGTCAGACAGACATTTGTCATCCTGATAGATATTTCTTCTTCTAGGCTGCGTTTATTAAAATTTATATTTAGAAAGGTTTTTTTTTGGGGAGTTTTCTGAACAGTTTTCTTTACAAAAACTTAAAAATTCTGGTATGTATCAAATTGACTTTCGTATAAGTAGATATCCATTATTTTTCGGCTAAAATTTTTAATGACAATTATGTGCTATTTTGTTTTTGTAGATTCCGTTCAGAAATTTTTGATCTGTTGTGTTCCACCAGGACAACGATAGGCCACACACATATACCGTGACTCGCCAGAAACTTCGGGAGCTTGCTTGGGAAGTTTTAATGCATCCGCCATACAGTCCGGACTTGGCACCAAGCTATTATCATTTTCTTCTTGCATTACAAAGTTACCTCTAAAATAGTAACAAATCATACAACAAAACGGTGTATATTTGACCAAAATTTGATATTACGAAGCATTAAATTAAGGGGACCCCCCATTCTCGGGGTCAAAATTGTTTTTGATTTAATTCGAATCTACACTAACTCAAGAATGTCCCTACAAAGTTTCATGTGGAAATCTCAAGAACTCTTGAAGCTATAGCCGATTTATTGTGTCAGCATCAAATGACGGCTAAAGGGCTTCTCGAACTTTAAACGCGTTTTTCTCTTTTGCGAATGGCGGACACGATAACTCAAAAACTAATAACCCAATCGATTAAAAATTTTTACACGTTTCTCTGTGAGTGTATAGCTATCGGATGAACTAGGATAAAGCCAATCGGTGGATATCTTCCTTATTTTTTAACTTGGGTTTTGGTCAAAAATCTGCGATTTTTGATATTTGATATTTGATTGATATTTTTTCAAAGGTCCACCATTTTGTTAATATTAGAGCGAAGCCAATAATCCTAGTTCATACGAGAGCCATACATGTACTCTTTCTAACACCGTTGGAATTTTCGGATTTCGATGTTTCAGTGAGGAGTTATCATGCCCGCCATCAAAAATAAGGACTTCTCTTTAATTACAAAAAACAACAACAAGACAATTACAAAATTGTTTGTAAATTATTTTTCTTCTCTTTTAAATCTTCAAATATATATGTGCAAAGTTACAAACCTTAACACATTGATTTACCAGCCAATTGAAAATCTTGAAAAAATAAAATCGAGAATCGCAAGACAGGCATAACTCAAAAAATGATGCACGATTGTTCGCTATAATAGACCTAATGTTGTGTAAAAAATATAAAAGAATATCTCTTACACACCCTGATTGAGACACTAAATTGAAAACTTAAAACGCATTTTCTGCAAAATTTTGTTTTTTGAGTTATGCCTGTCTTGCAGCAAATGAGCGATATGATTAGCAATGTTTTTAGCTTTAGATAAATAGGTAAGAAGCAAATACATCACAATTGTCCAATTTAAAGTTTTGTTCGACATTAAACTGTAACTGTTTCCATACGTTTAACACAATACTGATAAAATTCAATTATTGATTTGATAAGATAATACAAAAGACAGCAATACCTATTAAATAATAATAATTCATCATATCCCTTTGTAATATCATCATTATCATCAACATAACTTTTTCTACATCAATGTTTGCTAAAAAATAAAAAAAACAAAGTCCCAATTAAAATGCAATATATGTCGAGATTTGTGAATTACTTTCTACAAGAACTACAAACATTTCTATACGTTAATAAAAATGGAAAAATATCTCAATGTGATGTGTTGTTTGTTGTCGCAATTGAAAACCTCAAATTAAATCCAGAATAAAGACGATTTTTTGTAAACCTAAATGGAATTCCAAATGGCCAAACAAACAAATGAAATAAAACATAATAACTAAGTAATGCTGTACCACAGATCATGGAGAGATATAATGACTGCAAATCAAGAAAACCAAAAAAGAAAACGAAACAAATCCCCTTAATCCATAACATGTTACATTTTGCATACATACGTACATACATTTCGTTCTGCAATGTTGATTTTTTTATCCTATACAGTCCATAAAAAACGAATATAATCATTTAAAACAATTTAAAAAAGGCAAACATTGAACCACATCTTTTGTGAAAAATAAATTACAACAAAATACAACTATTTAAAAACAAAAAATTCAATCAAATGTAATGTAAAGTTAACTAAATTTAAAACCACCAACAAATGTGAAATAACTTAATACTACATATTTTGGAAATGTCAAAAATCTATACCTAAATACTAATTGTAAATTAAATTTAAAAGCCGATAATAAATTAAATACTGTTGCCAAATATTTAAAATAATATATTTAATAATAATAAAAAAATTATTACAATAAATGTTATAGTAGCAAATGTTTAGAGAAAAATAAATACTGTTGAACAAAATAAATTATAAGAAAATTATATCTTTAATATAACCAAAAAACAACAACAAAACACACAAACCAAGACAATATAAACGTTTATTTTCATAAATTTTTACTATATTTCTTATGTACATAATGCTATTCTGTATAATAAATACATTTTTTTTATTTTTTCAACAAATTCTATAGTTGTAAATGTTGTTAAAATGGCAAATTGAAAACTTA